AGGGCTTGATCCTGTGTCCCCTGCATTGGCAGGCGGATTCTTAACTGCCGTACCACCAGGGAAGTGCCAGGTATAGTTTCATAGGAGTTCACTTTCAAACAACTGATGAAGTTTTTAATGCATTTTTCCATGTGTGTATATGATTTTCACAATAAACAAGTAAAAATAATACCCAAAATTGTGATATTGCTGTGTGGGATAAATAAGTATGTAGGGCTTCCCTGGTGGCTCAGTGGTTGAGAATCTGCCTGCTGATGCAGGGGACACGGGTTCGAGCCCTGGTCTGAGAAGATCCCACATGCCGCGGAGCAGCTGGGCCCATGCGCCGCAACTACTGAGCCTGCACCCTGGAGCCCGGGAGCCACAACTACTGAAGTCTGCGTGCCTAGAGCCTATGCTCTGCAGCAGGAGAAGCCATCGCACTGAGAGGCCCTCGCACCGCAGAGGGGAGTGGCCCCCGCTCGCCGCAACTAGAGAAAACCCATGCACAGCGACAAAGACCCAACGCAGCCAATAAATAAATAAATAAATAAATAAATAAATAAATAAATAAATAAATAAAATCTATTTTAAATAAAAAAGTTACCACTGTCTTTGACCTTTACAGGAATCCACCTCCGGACCATTGGGCTTTAGTGAGCGGTCTTCCCACTTACGTTGCCCAAAATGGCCTGGTAAGTAATACAATTTTGAGGGGGGAGAGTTTTGAATCAGGTGGAAAGGTGAAGGGATTTCAAATCAAGAGAGTGGGGAAAACGGTGGCAAGTGTGTATCTCTAAAAGCCCAGTTCTCCCATTTCTCAATTCACTCGATGGTTGGTCCAAGGGGATGCGCAGAGAATTGACATTTGAATAAATATGAAATACACAGAGAAAGAATCCTCAGATGGAAAGGTGCACAGTCTCAGTGACAACTAAAGATACTTACGCAAATGTCAGGGATAAAGGCACAAGTGGCTGGTCCACCAGGCTCACCACAGAACAAGTCCCAGCCTCTCATCCCAGAGACTTAGTTGCCACTCCCAACACCCCCCCCCGACCCGGTCCCTGCCACATTTCCAGCCACACAACAGAGCTCAAATGCTCTATCTCCCCCCATGCCCCACCCGCTTGGGGTGCAGGGTAGAGTGACAGTATCCCCTACCCTAGAGAGAAGGGTCATAGCTGCACATCACCCCAATATTTGAGCCTGCTTATCTCTGTATCCTTCCCCAGGCACACACACTACACAGTGCTGTTCATATATCAGGGTGTTTATTTATTGGGCATTTTCTATGTGCCAGGTGCTGTGGTTGGCTCTGGGGATACAATGATAGATGAATCAAATAGTTTCCGTTCGGAAGCTCATCATCAAATGGGAGATATCTTTACGAACAGATACTTAGACTATAATGTGATAAGGCCAGATAGAGATGTACATGGTATATTCTAGGAACACAAAGTAGGAAGCATCTAAACCAGCTTTACTTGCCAGAGTGTTTTGGTCTGAGTTTTAAAATAAATAGGGGTTAGGCAGGTGGGGCAGGAAAGAGGATTGCAGGTGGAGGAAGCAACATGGGCAAACAACTAGGGCTTGGAGGTTTGAAGTGACACAGAGTGTACAGTTCCGTGTTGCTGGAGTATTAGGTTTGAGACAGGAAGATGGCAAGAGATGAGGCTTGAGAGGGAGGGAAGGGCCAGATCACAGTAGCCTTGGACGCCAGGTCAAGATGGTGAAAGTTTAATCTACAGGCGATGGGTTTTTAAGCAAGAGGTTGGCACAATGAATTTTCATTTTAGAAAGAAAACTCTGAACGCTCCCTAGAAAATAGATATGAAGGGAGTAAGACTGGAAGCAGAGCGAAAAGTGTGTCCTTACAAACAAGAGATGAAGAACATCTCAACAAAGGCAAAGGCAGTAAAGAACACTAACTGTCTTCATTGCTAACAGCCATGGAGTGCTTATGATGAGCCAGGCAGTGAATACATTTGCTCACTTAATATTCATGACTCAGACAGAGATGAGGTGGAGAGAGGGAGATCAGGGCTCAGATCTAACACTGAAAGGGCTTTGTGACTGGTTGTGAGCAGAGAGGGAGGGAGAGAAGGACCAAAGCCAATTTCAGGCTTCTAGACTGGACAGATAATGCTGCCACCAGGTTTGGATGTAAGATGCTGAGATCAGTTTCAGACAAGGTGCAACAGAGACTTTTTTTCAGAAGCAAGTGTCCAGCAAGCAGCTAAAGAGATGACTCTGATGCTGTGGAGAGGACGGATGGAGATAGAGATTTGTGTCAACAAAAAGTAGAGATCTGTACTGACTACACTACAGACACTATGATAGTATATCTGGTCCTTGACCCCTTTGCTCCTAGGAGCAGATGGTACTTGAAACCATGAGTGTGGATGAAGTCACCAGGGAGAGTGAGGGAGACTCGGGGTAGAATACTAGAGGATGCCAGCATTTAAAGATTGGGTGGAGGAAGAAGAGTGTGTGAAGGAGAATCAGAAGAAGGGTTCAGAGGTGTCTGGAGGCTCAGGAGAGGGTAGTGTCATGGAAACCAAAGAAGTAGAAAGTTTCAACAAAGAGAGAGAATAACAAATGCAGCAAAAGTGATCCAGTGAGATAAGAAGCAAAAACTCTCATTGGGCTTGGCAGTGAGGAGGTCATTCATGGCCCTGATGAGAGCAGGCTTGGTGGCAAGGTGGAGGCAGAAAGCAGTGGGTGGTCTGCTGAGGTGTGGATGGGTAATGAGAAGGTAGAAAATGCAAGAGAAGGAGGAGAAAACCTGATGGTCACTACAAAGACCACATTGGGCCAAGGGAGGATTTTGTTTTCAAGGTTGGGAGAGAATCAAGCATGCCCATGGACTGAAGCTAAAGAGCCCTCAGAGAGGTTAGAAATCAGGAGAGAACAATAGCAACTGATGGAATTGGCCCAAGGAGAGGCCAGAGGCGTGGTACAGAGGGTGGGCACTCTTGAACAGGAGCAGGGACAGCTCATCCTCTCAGACAACAGAATGGTCTGATCTACTGGGATAGGCAGGGTCAAAGCAAGCTCACATGGTACCTTTTTGAGAACTAGAAAAAGGTGTCCCTTCTTGATGGATGAAAAGAGAAAGGCTAGGGCCATTGTTCTGAAAGTCAAGAACAGGCTGGATTTCAACTCCCAGTCACCCCCTCAGCCAGATGCCTTTGTGCAGTGCACATGCTACACAACTGTATACAGTGGCCCCATAGGCAGGACTCTGGAGGGATCAGATAAGAGTTATCTGCATGATAGGGTAAACTGGTCCAGTTTTCAGGAGAGGAATCTTGCAATATAAATACAACCAGAGCTACAGCACCTTTTACTTCTTCATCTGCTGTGAAGTTTACAGCACAAGGAAAAACTCCTTCCTGACAAAACAAATATAATTGATTCAAAGATGTTTAGAGTGGCATTATTTAGATTAATTTAAAAAAACTGGACATAACCAAATACTCAACAAAAGGGGGTAAGAAAATGGGACACCTTACTATAAAACTACAGTCTTCAAAACAGTATGGTATTGGCACAAAGAACAGTAGAGAAAGCCCAGAAATATGCCCACACGTACATCATCATACATCATTGTTGTATGATCAATTAATCTACAACAAAGGAGGCAAGAATATACAATGGAGAAAAGAAAGTCTCTTCAATAAGTGGTGCTGGGAAAACTGGACAGCTACGTCTAAAAGAATGAAATTAGAACGTTCTCTAATACCATATACAGAAATAAACTCAAAATGGATTAAAGACCTAAATGTAAGATTGGACACTATAAAACTCCTAGAGGAAAACACAGGCAGAACACTCTCTGACATAAATCACACCAATATCTTATTGGATCCACCCCCTAGAGAAATGAAAGTAAAAACAAAAATAAACAAATGGGACCTCATTAAACTTAAAAGCTTTTGCACAGCTAAGATAACCATAAACAAAACGAGAAGACAACACACAGAATGGGAGAAAATATTTGCAAACGAAGAGACCAACAAGGGATTAATCTCCAAAATTTACAAACAGCTCATGTAGCTCTGTATCAAAAAAAAAAAAAGACGACTCAATCAAATAAATAAGCAGAAGATCTAAATAGACATTTCTCCAAAGAAGACATACAGATGGCCAAAAAGCACATGAAAAGATGCTCAATATCACTAATTATTAGAGAAATGTAAATCAAAATTACAATGAGGTATCACCTCACACTGGTCAGAATGGCCATCATCAAAAAATAATAATAATAATACAAATGAATGTATATACAAAACAGAAACAGACTCACAGACTTAGAAAACAAACTTATGGTTACCAAAGGGGAAAGGTGTGGGGGGTAGGGATAAATTAGGAGGTTGGGATTAATACAGACACACTACAATATATAAAATAGATAATCAACAAGGACCTACTGTACAGCACAGGGAACTCTACTCAGTACTCTGTAATAACCTATATGGGAAAAGAATCTGAAGAAGAATAGGTATATGGATATGAATAACAAAAAAATAAATAAAAGATGAATGAGATATGAAAAAAGCTAACATTAAAAAGAAGAAAGTGGGACACTATACAGCTATTAATAACAAAAAATTATAGCCTTAACTTTCTCAAAGCTTGGAAATGACTCAGAAGTGAAGCAAATGGTAAGAAGCCATGTTTATAAGGCAGGTTTCCTGTTCGGTAGCCTCAGTTAATAATTCAAAACCATCTTAAGCATGTCTACCTGATGACAAGAATGTGAATGCCTTGGATAAGGATGTGATATTTCTGAAAGTAGCATGCCCATTGCCCTCAATGGGTACTCCATCAAGTCTAACCATAACTCCATTATTCCTCTTCATGGCTTTCAGATTTGCAACATCATGAATGCACCTGCAGAGGACTTTTTTGCATTCCAGGTAAGTTAGTTTTTATTTACTCTCTCAGTCATATGATATTTTTTCCCCCAAAGAGGATTCAAATACATTAGAATCCATCTACTTTATTGGGAAGCAGTCTCAACAAAGCGAAAATGTGAGTGCAAAAAAGTCATGTGCCCATGGAAGTGGGGAGAGAGCTAATTTGGTAAATCCAAGGTCCCATGTGGTTTTAAGGTTTACACCCTTTGCTTTCTGGCCTTAGGACCTTGGCTTATGCTATTCTCTCCCTTACTACTATCTCTTGTCCAAATGCCCTCTGCCCTTCAATGATAACCCCAAATGCTATGAAACTTCTATGAAGTTTTATTCTGCTTCCCCTGGCTGAATATCATTTCTGTCTCCTTAGGATTATCATGGAATGTTGTTTAGTATTCCATTTGATTTTGTTTGTATTTTTAAAAAATGTTTGCGGAGGGCACGCTCTGGGCCAGGCATGGGCACGATGCTACACCAGCTACAGAGGTGGACTAGACAGGCATGGTCTTTGTCTTCAGGGAGCTCATGATCATATGGGGAAAGAGGCATGTGGAGTGCTGGTCAGGACAAGAGCAGAGGGACAGAGGAGGGACTCTCCCAGGGGGGCTTGACTTCGTCTGGGAAGAGTCAAGGAACGTGTCCCTGAGAAATTATGTTTGGGCAGTAAAGAAAGGAGAGAGGATTGCAGGAAAGACAGGGCTTGTTGGAAGGAACCAGAGTAGACCAATGAGACTGAGGGGAGAGTGGCAGGACGAAACTCTAGAGAGGTAGACACAGGCCAGGTCACACAGAGCCTGGAAGGCCATGCCAAGGAGTTTGGCTTTCTTACTCTATTTCCCTTACATCATCTTTCATGATCCTTCCTTGTCTTTTAGATTAATTCCTCTTGGCAAAATATAGCCTTCCTTTGGTCAAAGGTCAGGGCTTATCTTTCTTAACCTGTGCAGCTCTGGGTGCCCTGTCAATATTTCTTGAGTTTAGCGTGCTAGGTGTACGAAAACCAAATCATGAGCAGTCAGGAAATAATTAAGAAGGAAATAAAAATGGCTCATAGCAAAATTAGTGGGTTTTTTTTTTTTTTACTCCTTAAATAACATTATGAAAGACCTTAGAGAGAATATCCTTCCAAGGTTAAAACCGTATGTCTTGTGTTGTGATGTTGACCACATTAGTGTGACGAGGCAAATTGTTGCTGAGAGTTGCTAACCTGATTATAACCACAACAGAACTTGATCTTTACCCAAGTCATCTGATTAACTGTAGTTTATCCACTTTAATAAATAAAGTCTAATCTTGTTTTTAGATTCCAGTCTTCTGTCTCCAACTCTTCCTCCACAAAGTAGCCTGAGTGATTTTTAAAAGAAAAACATAAGTTGCATCAAGTAACTTTGCTCCTTAAAAATGTTTAATACTAAAAAAAAAAAAAAAAAAAAAAAAAAAAAGTTGAATACTTTCTCATTTCACTTTTATTCACTTCCAATAAAATCTGCTTCTTTATCATGGCCTTCAGAGAGGCCGTGATAGAAAAGGTTAGGGAGAGAGCTGGGAGCCTGAATTCAAGTTTCCCGACTGACAGCCCTATGCTCTTTGGACTGTATTCTACATCCCTCCGAAGTCACTCTCCTACCAGGTGCTGAGTTCAAGTGCTACTTAAATAATAATAATTATCATCTCACCACCTTTAAAATCTTGGAACTTTCGAGCTAGAAGACTCTCCAACTCCAGGAAGCCTTCCTTGACTTCCTTCCCTCCTCTGGCTCCCAAAGTACCTTGCAGAACTTCCCACATGAAGTGTGACTGCCTGTTTACCTTCCAGACGTGAGCAACCTCAGGACAACACCTCTGCCTTATTTTTCTTAGTTCTCCCATCTTCTAGCTCAGGTTCTTGTACATTGTAAAATACTTGATAAGTCTTCAATGAATCAGTGGAAGAAAGACTAGAAATTGTCTAGTTATCCCCATTTTGTAAATGATGAAAGTGAGGCTCAGAGAGATGGGAAATGACTCACAAATGGTACCTTATGATTGACCAAGATATTTCACTTCTCTTTTCTCGTTTGTTCCATGAGGTACATACTCTTACTACTGGCCCCATCTATAAATGAGAAAATTGAGGCTCACAGAGATAAAACAACATGCCAAAAGGAACACAGAAAGGCAGGTTGGGAGGCAAAAGGTACAGGTTATATCCATCCAGTTGATTAGTTCAAAGTTACAAGCATCACCAACATGGCCCCTTTTAAGCCAGTCCCCTGCAGTTAGCTCCTGTATCTGAAAGGGAAACACTACCTCCCTGGACTGTTTGTTTGCATCATTAGATCCCCAATACACAGCTCATTGCCTGGCACATGATGGCCCTGACATTTTGGGGATGAAACAGTATAGCTATCTGGCTTGTGGCGCTCCCACCAGACGGGCAACCTGCTCATGGCGTTTGGCGACTAAAATCATGCAAAGCCCAACAAGGTCTAACCTCTTGCCACTCCCTCAGCCAATCAGGGTCATAATGCAGCATGAAGTCCTTTACAGATGCCTCTGCAGCCTGGTACCTGAAGCAAACTTACTCTGGCTCTTCTCTTGCAGAAAGAGCCTCTGGATGAGTCAGGATGGATGATTAAAAATGTCCTTTCTATGCCAATTGTGAACAAGAAGGAAGAAATTGTCGGGGTGGCCACGTTTTACAATCGCAAAGATGGGAAACCCTTTGATGAAATGGATGAGACCCTCATGGAGGTATGGTTTTTGAGGAGGCCTCTAGACGTGGTATTCAGAGTCGGCTCACCAACGAACTTGGCTTCCAGAGCTGCATGGTGGGGCCCTTATGTGCTGCTGCCCCAGCTCAGGAGGGATGGGAGCTCACCTTGTAGACACTTTCCTGACTCAACATTTATTCTCTTTGCTCTCCCTTCTGCACTGCAGCAGTTGTCAGAGAAATCTATATTCCCTTTTGTAAAAAATTAATAGACTTTACCTTTTAGAGAAGCTTTAGGTTCACAGCGAAATTGAGCAGAAAGTACAGAGAGTTCACTTATATCCCATGTCCCCACATACGCACAACACATTCCCTTTCTGTGAAATGATTAGACATCAGGATGGTGCTTCATGTGTGTTAGAGCTTTATTCAAAGTGCATTCCCATCCATTATTTCATCTTACCCTAACAACATCTCTTTGAGGAGGGCAGCACACAGCTAATCAAACCCATTTTGTAGCTGAGAAAATGGAGGTTTACAGAGTCTTACCCTAAGTTACAGAAGCAGGATCAAACCTGGATGTTCTGCCTCTGATTCTTCCTTTCTTTCCTTTTAGTCTCTGACTCAATTCCTGGGCTGGTCTGTCTTAAATCCTGACACTTATGAGTCAATGAACAAACTTGAAAACAGGAAGGATATTTTCCAAGACATGGTGAAATATCACGTGAAGTGTGACAATGAAGAAATCCAGAAAATCTTGGTGAGTAGCGTTTTTTTCCTGTTTCTACTCTAGAAATGGCTGCTATGGGGACAGCTGTCCCTCGCAGGGTTACCTCAGTCTTAGAACCAGACCTTGGCTTAACAGCTCTAGAAACTCCATTTTTCTCTGTGCTCAGGGCTAACATGGTACTAGAGATGGAGTCACCAACCACAGTCCCTACTCTGAGAGGAAGCTCTATCTGAGAGATCAATGGACAATGGTCAGTTGCTCAGAGCCTCCCTCCATGAGGTCAGCTCACTTAGAAGACTCAATCTTTCTGAGCAAAGAAATAGTTCAGAGGGGGGGTTAGATGTTTGTAGGAAGCCCTCACATAGTTTCATCACTGTACAGTATATAAGGTAATTTCACACTTATGATGCTTACAATAGCCCAGTAAGGTGGGCAGGGAAAGGATTTGGTTTTTTTGGCCGTGCCACATGGCATGTGGGATTGTAGTTCCCTGACCAGGGATCGAACCCACGCCCCCTGCATTGGAAGCTCGGAGTCTTAACCACTGGACCGCCAGGGAAGTCCCAGGGTAAGAATTTTTACCCCCATTGTAGAGATGAAGAAATTGAGCCCCAGAAGGGGGAAGTAATTTGTCCCCAAATCACCCAGCTCGTTAAATAGGTCTCATTTAACATTCAGGATAATGAGCAAATTATCACTGGGCTGAAAAGGCTGCCTTGGGAGGTAGTGAGCACCCCATCATGAGAGGTATCTAAGCATAGGCTGAGTGATCATATATCAGGGAAGCTACAGAGGAAAATCCCACCTGGGTGGGAAATTGGATGACAGGCTTTCAAAGATATGTGAGAATCAGTGATCCACCATTCCTGGGATTTTGGTCTCAAAGAGATCAAGATTTTAGAAGTAAACAGAATTAGCCAAAGGGCATTGGATATGATGCCCAGCTGAGTTCCCAAGACTTTGGTTTATACACTGCACAAGTTGAAACAACATAAACCAATGTTTTCAGAGAGCATTTCTTAAGCTGGGAAGATACAACAAATATGATCGTTTTGATCCCAATAACTGATAAATCCAAAGGAGAAAACACCCAGTATGGATGAACTGACCCATGGTTTGCTTATCTCAGTCCATAATTTTAAGCCAAATGATGGATATGCAGACCCTATGGAGGCGTAGCTTCAGTGAACCAGTTAAAAGTTAATAGACTATACTCTAGATCAAGAAATCCGAAACCAGTTATTGGGTCCAGGTTCCCCCCTCCTGTAGCACATGGGGAAATAGGCCCAGAGAGGGAAGGAACTTGTCTCAAGTCACACAGTAAGTGAGAAGAGCCAGGACCACGAGCAAGGACTCCAGACCCCCAGTCAGCAATAATAACAATATCAACAACAGCCTTACTTAATTTTAGCACTTACTATGGGCTAAGCACTGCTCTCGGTGATTTACATGCATTATTTAATTTAGTTGCATATATGTTTTTGGAAATGACTTTGCATAAGGGAATTCCCTGGTGGTCCAGTGGTTAGGACTCTGCACTTCCACTGCAAGGGGCATCGGTTGGACCCCTGGTCTGGGAGCTAAGAACCCACGTTTAAAAGAAAAAAAAAAAAGACTTTGCATAATCTAATTTTAACTTGCCAGTTAAGTACTTTTATTATCCTCATTTTACAGATGAGGAAATGGGAGATCCAAGCCAGTAACTGGCAGAGCTCGAATATGCACGAACGGCTCCGTGGCTCCAAAGCACATGACCTTGAATTTACTTGTTGACAATAAATGTTGAATGACAGTCTCTCTGAGTCCGTAGCTCTGTTGCAAGAACTCTCGTGGAAGAAGAAAAAAGGAAATGGAAAAGTAGAGATATATTTAGACCTTAGATGTAGTAAACTAATTCTTTTCTCTGCTATTTCGGGCCCCGGCAGAAAACCAGAGAAGTGTATGGGAAGGAGCCGTGGGAATGCGAGGAAGAGGAACTGGCTGAGATCCTGGTGAGCTGCGCAGCAGCGCTGGCCCTGACCAGTTACAAGCACAGGGTGTGCCCCAAGCATGGGCGGGGAGTGTCTCTGCCAAGCATGACCCTTGCCACTCTGCTCTGATCCTTCCAGCAGACTCGGGATAGGGACAGGGCTTGGGTGGGGGTGGGGGGGGATAGGAGAGGGACCCAGGAACTCTTCATGTGTCCCAGTCACTTGACTCCATGTTTCACACAGCAAGAACAGCTGCCAGATGCAGAGAAATATGAAATTAATAAATTCCACTTCAGCGACCTGCCCCTGACGGAACTGGAGCTGGTGAAATGTGGAATACAGATGTACTATGAGCTCAGGGTGGTGGATAAATTTCACATTCCTCAGGAGGTGAGGTCGAAACAAATGTTTGATTTCCCTTTTTCTTTTCCCTCTTTCTTTTGTGCTTGCTTTAAAAAAACAAACAAGCAAACTCAATCTGTAAACTGCCTTAAAAAGAGTGTACCCTCAGCTTTTAGGATTTAAAGCATTAGTCACATCTCACAGATGCGTCATTTATCAGAAAAGAGACACATGGTTCCTCTGAACTGTGGTGTTTCTCAAGGTGGGTATTGAGGCACTGAGTTCTGAAGACTGTGGATAAATGGGATGCCAAAAACAGTCCTACAGTCAAACAGAGTGGGAAAAGTGGGTTAAATCCATTTAAACAGGACTTTTTCCCCTGCAGGATTCCTTCGGTGTGCTGTGCATCTAGGGGGACGGGGATGGACAAAAAGGTGGAGGTGGGGGTTATGTCGCGTGCAGAATTTCCCAGACTTCTTTGATTAAAGCAGCGGTTCTAAATGTGTTGCCCCAAAGCACATCAGCATCACCTGAAAACGGATCATCCTCCCCATTCCCCCCCCCCCCCCCCCCCCGCCCCGCCACACACACACTCCTAGCTGTAAGTAATTAGATACTGTTTTCACAAGGCCTCCCCACAGCCCAGAGCGATTCAGACGTGCACTCAAGTCTGAGAACCACTGATGTAAAGACCCCTTTGATTTTTCTCCCGTACAGTTCCTTTAAGCTTCTCCCAGGGCCTCGTTTCATAACCACGTCCATTGTCATAGTACCTAGCAGTCTGCAAAGTGCTCTCACAGCCTTATTGCATCTATTGCTAGTTCACACGTGGTCTCCAGGGCGGGGGCTGGAGCATCTGGGGGTCAGCAGGCAGCATCCCCACCACCACCACCCCCCTAGCCTTGGCGCAATGCTGCTGCCTCACTGATGTGCATGTGTTCGCAGGTCCTGGTGCGGTTCATGTATTCCCTGAGTAAGGGCTACCGCAGGATCACCTACCACAACTGGCGGCACGGCTTCAACGTGGGGCAGACCATGTTCTCCTTGCTGGTGGTACGGTGGTGGCGGCATCTGGTCGGCGTGGTGGGTGGGACCGCGGGAGGCTGCGAGCTCCTGCCACACTGGGACAACTTCGTGCAGCTCCCCTAGCAGCAGCGGCATCATTCTTCTACTTACTGCTTTTTTAAAAAAAATGCAAACAGAGTACATGCTTAGCATAAATGAATTCCAAGAAGAGAGAAGTATATAAAATAAAAAGTAAAAGAAAGCTACATTCTTCTCCCACCCCCAAGCCGGTATTTGGAGAAAACCATGACACAACTCCTTCAAGATTTTCTTCTAAGAAGCATTGAGACATATTTGTTCACACACACATACACAAAGTTTATTTTGTTCATAACCAATTAAATATTATTATTCTGTAACATGATTTTTTCATTTGAAAGTATATAAATATATCGACCACATTCTTTAAATATATTTTTATTGTGGTAAAATATACATAACCTAAAATTTACCATTTTAACCATTTTTAGGTGCACAATTCAGTGGCATTAAGTATGTTCACAGTATTGTGCAACCATCACCACTCTCCATCTCTCGAAATTTTCCAACTTCCCAAACAGACACCCTGTCCCCATTAAACAACAGTATTAATGCAGCTCCCCAGTTCCCCTGTCCCCAGGCCCTGGCGACCACCTTTCTACTTCTTCAGCCTCTATGAATTTGATTATAGGTACCTCACATAAGTAGAATCATACAGTATTTGTCCTTTTGTGTCTGACTTATTCCACTGAATGTTTTATTATTTATTTATTTATTTATTTACATCTTTATTGGAGTCTAATTGCTTTACAGTGGTGTGTTAGTTCCTGCATCACAACAAAGCAAATCAGCCATACATACACACATGCCCCCATATCTCCTCCCTCTTGCGTCTCCCTCCCTCCCACCCTCCCTATCCCACCCCTCTAGGTGGTCACAAAGCACGGAGCTGATCTCCCTGTGCTATGCGGCTGCTTCCCACTAGCTATCTACCTTACGTTTGGTAGTGTATATATGTCCATGCCTCTCTCTTGCTTTGTCACAGCTTACCCTTCCCCCTCCCCATATCCTCAAGTCCGTTCTCCAGTAGGTCTGTGTCTTTATTCCTGTCTTACCCCTAGGTTCTTCATGACATTCTTTTTCTTAAATTCCATATATATGTGTTAGCATACGGTATTTGTCTTTCTCTTTCTGACTTACTTCACTCTGTATGACAGACTCTAGGTCTATCCACCTCATTACAAATAGCTCAATTTCGTTTCTTTTTATGGCTGAGTAATATTCCATTGTATATATGTGCCACATCTTCTTTATCCATTCATCCGACTATGGGCACTTAGGTTGTTTCCGTCTCCGGGCTATTGTAAATAGAGATGAAATGAACATTTTGGTACATGACTCTTTTTGAATTTTGGTTTCCTCAGGGTATATGCCCAGTAGTGGGATTGCTGGGTCATATGGTAGTTCTATTTGTAGTTTTTTAAGGAACCTCCATACTGTTCTCCATAGTGGCTGTACCAATTCACATTCCCACCAGCAGTGCAAGAGTGTTCCCTTTTCTCCACACCCTCTCCAGCATTTACTGTTTCTAGATTTTTTGATGATGGCCATTCTGACTGGTGTAAGATGATATCTCACTGTAGTTTTGATTTGCATTTCTCTAATGATTAGTGATGTTGAGCATTCTTTCATGTGTTTGTTGGCAGTCTGTATATCTTCTTTGGAGAAATGTCTATTTAGGTCTTCTGCCCATTTTTGGATTGGGTTGTTTGTTTTTTTGTTATTGAGCTGCTTGTAAATCTTGGAGATTAGTCCTTTGTCAGTTGCTTCATCTGCAAATACTTTCTCCCATTATGAGGGTTGTCTTTTCGTCTTGTTTATGGTTTCCTTTGCTGTGCAAAACCTTTGAAGTTTCATTAGGTCCAGTTTGCTTATTTTTGTTTTTATTTCCATTTCTCTAGGAGGTGGGTCAAAAAGGATCTTGCTGTGATTTATGTCATAGAGTGTCCTGCCTATGTTTTCCTCTAAGAGTTTGATAGTTTCTGGCCTTACATTTAGGTCTTTAATCCATTTTGAGCTTATTTTTGTGTATGGTGTTAGGGAGTGATCTAATCTCATACTTTTACATGTACCTGTCCAGTTTTCCCAGCACCACTTATTGAAGAGGCTGTCCTTTCTCCACTGTACATTCCTGCCTCCTTTATCAAAGATAAGGTGACCATATGTGCGTGGGTTTATCTCTGGGCTTTCAATCCTGTTCCATTGATCTATCTTTCTGTTTTTGTGCCAGTACCATACTGTCTTGATTACTGTAGCTTTGTAGTATAGTCTGAAGTCAGGGAGCCTGATTCCTCCAGCTCCGTTTTTCACTCTCAAGATTGCTTTGGCTATTCGGGGTCTTTTGTGTTTCCACACAAATTCTGAAACTTTTTGTTCTAGTTCTGTGAAAAATGCCAGTGGTAGTTTGATAGGGATTGCATTGAATCTGTAGATTGCTTTGGGTAGTAGAGTCATTTTCACAATGTTGATTCTTCCAATCCAAGAACATGGTATATCTCTCCATCTATTTGTATCATCTTTAATTTCTTTCATCAGTGTCTTATACTTTTCTGCATACAGGTCTTTTGTCTCCTTAGGTAGGTTTATTCCTAGATATTTTATTCTTTTTGTTGCAGTGGTAAATGGGAGTGCTTTCTTGATTTCACTTTCAGATTTTTCATCATTAGTGTATAGGAATGCCAGAGATTTCTGTGCCTTAATTTTGTATCCTGCTACTTTACCGAATTCATTGATTAGCTCTTGCAGTTTTCTGGTAGCATCTTTAGGATTCTCTATGTATAGTATCATGTCATCTGCAAACAATGACAGCTTTACTTCTTCTTTTCCGATTTGGATTCCTTTTATTTTCTTTTCTTCTCTAACTGCTGTGGCTAAAACTTCCAAAACTATGTTGAGTAAGAGTGGTAAGAGTGGACAACCTTGTCTTGTTCCTGATCTTAGTGGAAATGCTTTCAGTTTTTCACCATTGAGCACAATGTTGGCTGTGGGTTTGTCATATATGGCCTTTATTATGTTGAGGAAAGTTCCCTCTATGCCTACTTTCTGCAGGGTTTTTATCATAAATGGGTGTTGAATTTTGTCGAAAGCTTTCTCTGCATCTATTGAGATGATCATATGGTTTTTCTCCTTCAATTTGTTAATATGGTGTATCACGTTGATTGATTTGCATATATTGAAGAATCCTTGCATTCCTGGAATAAACCCCACTTGATCATGGTGTATGATCCTTTTAATGTGCTGTTGGATTCTGTTTGCTAGTATTTTGTTGAGGATTTTTGCATCTATGTTCATCAGTGATACTGGCCTGTAGTTTTCTTTCTTTGTGACCTCCTTGTCTGGTTTTGGTATCAGGGTGATGGTGGCCTCATAGAATGAGTTTGGGAGTGTTCCTCCCTCTGCCGTATTTTGGAAGAGTTTGAGAAGGATGGGTGTTAGCTCTTCTCTAAATGTTTGATAGAATTCGCCTGTGAAGCCTCCACTGAATGTTTTTAAGGCCTATCCATGATCTAATTTTATGGCTTCAGAGAATTCTGCATTGTTCAAGTAGACCATAATTTCTTTATCCAGCTCCCCTATTGTTGGACATGGGGGTTGTTTTCGATCTTTCACTATTACACACAGTGCTACTGTGTCCTTGGATGGACATACCTATGTGTATATGTCAGTCTTTTTGTCTCAGAGGGTTTGCAGTTTCTATATTTCATTTACAAGTGTTTTCCCATCCAGGTTATGACACACTTCTCTGCCCTTGCCCAGGCTCCTCATCCTCATTCCTTTCCCTTGTGGCCGGAATGGTCAGGGCAGAGTAAGCTCTAGGGCCAGGAGGCAGGAATTCTGGCTAGGCTGTCATTGAGAGTGAAAAACACACCCCTTAGACTTGATTTATTTCTTGGAGTCACAGAGTCAGCATCACCTCCCCAGGGCTCTTTCCACCCTTGACTCCAACACCCTGCACAAACAAGGAGTTAAGTACTTGCAAGACGCTCAGGGAAAAATTCTTCTGGGCTGTGCTTGAATCGGTAGACCAGGCTTGGAAGGTTCGCTTTACCAGTCTGGTCATGTTCAAAAACACTCTAAATCCTAAAACTCGAGGGCTGTCAGTTTCTCAACATTCATCCAGTTTGATGCCCTCCACTTTGAGTGTGCACAATGAGATACTGAGGCCCAGAGGGAGATGCGACCAGCTAAGGTCACTCAGGAGTAAGGTGACGCACCAGCCCCATTTGCCCGGGACTGTCCCCGTTCTAGCACAGAAAGTCCCACATCCCAGAAAACCCCTGAGTCCCGGCAAACATCTGGTCACCCTGTGGCGCCAGGGGTCGAGCCAAGATCAGACCTGTGTTTCCAAGCTCCAGGCCCTCCCCCTCACACCTGAGCTCTCAGCCCCGCTTCTGACCCCCGCAAGAAAGGAGTGAGTGCTATCTCTGACTGCTCTTCCAGACTGGAAAGCTGAAGCAATATTTCACAGACCTGGAGGCCCTGGCCATGGTCACCGCCGCCTTCTGCCATGACATTGACCACAGAGGCACCAACAACCTCTACCAAATGAAGTGAGTCAGTGCTTACTGGCCCTCCTCTCTACCTCCGGCCTCCAGGATTGATTACCTAGATCTGAATGGGTCTCAGCTAGACTCGCTTGCCAAGGAGAAGTCCCGCAGTCCACAGCTTCCCACTTCTTCCTGCCCTTTGGATCTGGGTAAACTCCTGTGATAGACAGAATAATGACCCTCAAATATGTCCACACCCCAATGCCTGGAGCCTGGGAATATGTTGCCTTACATTCAAAAAAAAACTTCATGGGTGTGATTAAGTTAAGGATGTTGAAATATAGGGATTATCTTGGGTTATCCAAGTGGGCCCCACATAGTCAGAAGGGTCCCTATAAGAGGGAGGTGGTGGGGATGTCAGAGAGGACAGAAGATGTTACACTGTTGGCTTGGAAGATGGAGGATGGGCCCACAAGCCAAGGAATGTAGGGGGCCTCTAGAAGCTAGAAAAGGCAAAGGAAACAGATTTTCCGCTACAGCCTCCAGAAGGGAAGCAGCTCTGCAGACCCATTTTAGACTTTGAACTCCAGAGCTGTAAGATAATAAAATTTCATTGTTTTAAGCCATTCAGTTTGTGGGAATGTGTCAGAGCAACAACAGCAAAAACTAATATATGACACTTCGTCACTCTTCTCCTTCCCTTCCTACCTGTTGAATTAATTCAAGCCAAGATGTTAGTAACTGAGAACGGTTCATTTATTCACCTTGGGTTTACAATGCTCCCAACACCAGCGTGGTAGGCCCTAGGCTAGGCAAAGGAGGTACCAGGGTAAGCAAACCAGACACAGTCCCTGTCCTCACAGAGCTTATATTCTAGATAGTCTCTGAAGCAGAGTCCTTGAACCATGCTCTGGGGGACCCCCGTGACCACCTTGTGGGCTGGGCAGAGCGGGGACGAGTGTGATACCCATATTATAAGTGAGGAAACTGAGGCTCTTCCCAGGGTCCACAGCCTGTAAGTCATTAACAAACCCTAGAACATGCTTCTCTGAGTCTTCTCAGTTCTTTCCTGCTGCTCCAAGGTTAGAGATTGTGTTTACATTTTACCTCGTGGGAAGCTAGGTACTGATCTCAGTGCTTGGCGCATAAAAAGGGCTCAACAAATATTTATTGAATAAAGACATGAATAAATATATTGCTTGTGGGAATTCAGTGGCTTCCCCTAAGGATCAGGTATGGAGGATGTGGGGCTTTGTGATGTTCAAAGTACGGCCCAGTGCCAATGTCCATGGATTGGCACTGGGCCGATAAGTTTCTAAAAGTGCACGTGGCATTGTGTTTGTGTCTTTTTCTGGGGATAAGTGTCCACACTTCTAGGGAGTGCACGACCTCAAAGAGGCCCAGAGTCAATTGTGGAGAAAACTAAAGCCTGAGGGTCAGGACACCTGCTATCTAGTCCTATTTCCCACTGTCCTACTGTGGGGCAAATTCCTTCTTACTCCTGAAGTTCAACCTCTCTGCCTGCAGAACTAGGAGGTGACAGGAATGGATGATGTTTTTAACCTTCACCTCAGCCATTTCATACTGATCCTCTCTCTGCGTGTCTCTCTCTTTCTCTCCCATTCAGATCCCAGAACCCACTGGCCAAGCTCCATGGGTCCTCCATCTTGGAAAGACACCACTTGGAGTTTGGCAAAACATTGCTGAGAGATGAGGTAGGATGAGGGCCCTCTGCACTGGCTTTGGGGTCTGAGAAGGAGCCCCCATCTCACAAGAAGCCTGAGTGTGGCCAGGCATTGGCCTGGGCTGCCTCTCCCATCACCTGGGGTGGCCATCAGTAATTGAGCAACTTTACTGCCAGCATCACTTCTTACATCTCTCCTATGGTTTTCTCTTTAGAGCTTGAATATCTTTCAAAACCTCAATCGCAGGCAGCATGAGCATGCAATCCACATGATGGACATCGCGATCATTGCTACAGACCTCGCCTTGTATTTCAAGTTGGTGTTTCTTCTTCATTTTAAGAATAACAATGATTAGGGAATTCCCTGGCAATCCAGTTGTTAAGACTGCCATGGGCCCGGGTTCCATCCCTGGTCGGGGAACTAAGATCCCGCAAGCCACCCAGCGTGGCCAAAAAAAAAGAATAGCAATGATTATAATGATAATGAACACCACAGTTCTAATTGAATTAGTATATGCTCTGTGCCAGGCACCATACTTTTGCTATGGACACATCGACTCCCACTACAGCTCTACGAGTTAGATATTTTTACCCCCATTATACAGATGGGGAAACTGAGATCCAGGGGAAGATTAGCTAAGATCAGATAACAAATCCATGGTAGAGTCTGAGTTAGAACTTAGGTCTTCACTCCCAGGCGTTGGTTCTTTTCACCTGTTTTTTTTTTCTTTTTTTTAATTACGTTGTTTTAATTAGCCTCTGTCTGAAACAGCCAACATTAGAAGGCCAGGGGTTGCCTTATTCTAAGATGTGCTCCTTTAACAAACTGGTGTGTTTTATAGGAAGAGGACGATGTTCCAAAAGATCGTGGATCAGTCTAAGACGTATGAGACTCAACAGGAGTGGACGCAGTACATGATGCTGGATCAGACACGGAAGGAAATCGTTATGTGAGTTGAGACAGGGCTCAAACCCTGATCCCCTTAAGCCCGGGGTCATAAGGCAAAATTCTGCACTGACAGGCTTTGCTGCCTTCAAGAGAGCCCTGGGACACTTTCCACTATGGAGGCCTCTGACATATGAAGCAAATAAGTTATGCCAAAACAGCACTGCAGAAATTATGTGTTTAATCTTTACTCTAACACAAAAATACAAGACAGTATACTATCATTTTACTTCTTTGTATACAAAAAGTACACTATTTGAAGTATTTCTATCCTAAAATGCAGAACTTTTTGTGGTAAAGCGATGTGACTTTAAAGTTTTTGATAAAACATAGAGCATTATACCAATTATGGTTTGAGTGACAGCTAAATGTCACTCAAAATCTGTAGGCTTAATTTCTTAAGTGTTCTTTTATACATGGCAATGGCCTGCAAAACAGCTGTGCCATTCACAAATTAGTTCCGTGATTTGTGTGATATTTAGTGCTCTGCTGCCATGAGGTCTGGTAATGGGATGCAATTTTAAGTTTTCTGGTGAATGTCTTCTTTTAGTCTCTCTCCGTGTGCTTCCATGATTCACTTCAGTTGATCATGGGGTGAGAAGTGTAAATCTGAGCCTTTTCTTGAATATGTGGCCCAAGCCAATGGCTCCCCCGGCCCCCCTGTGAGAGGTCCTGGGTGTTGATGCCAAAGGAAACAAGTCCTGACCCAGTACCCAAAGAGGTGTTGTTAGTTTATCCCCAGATGCTTCTGTGGAGATGAGGTTTAATTAAGTCACAAATGTTACAAGTCCCTGCAACAGAGATGGGGCAGCTGCTGGGACAGGCTCAGGGAAGACTAGGCAAGTGGCCAGTCTTTCCCTTAGCTTTGAAGTTGTCCAAGCAGGCCTCCCCAAAGATCCTCCCATCCTGGGGAGCAGGGTGACCTGCACCACGGAACAAGGAGGCACACGCTGGCTACAGCTGCTCCCGGGCAGACCAGGAGCTGCCCTGCTGGACGTTTCAAAATGGTGCTGCAGAAGAACTGAATGACTGGAAAGAACACCAAGTTCTTGGACAGGGGGTCTTATTGTTAGAAAAGCCGTCTATTCTCCCTATTTATTCATTTAAAGTGATTCCAAGGAAAATATCGATTTTATCTTGGGGAGAATTAGGAAGCCAATTCCAAAATCCTTATGAGAAGTAAGTATACAAAAAGATCCAGAAAATTCTGAAAGAGAAAGGAAATAATAGGGACCAGCAGAGTTCAATCCTAGGCATGAGAAGGACAGGTCAATGAACAGACTCGAAAGACAAAGCCTACACTAAAAGTGGATTTTCTGCCAGTGGAGAACGGGATAATTTCATAAATGGCGTTGGGACAATGAGGTGGTCTGATTGTTTTTTTCCAAGGCCAGCAAGCAATTCTCCAGTTCTCAGTGAGCACTGACTGGCTGTCCTACAAATTTCACTCAATTCTCACACTATCAACCCGGAGATAGTGTCAGACCCCACTTACTAAGGGCTCAGCCCCATGAGACTGGCTACCTTTCAGACACCAACGGCAAGTCCTTGTTGCCTGTGCTTCTGACTGACTAGCTATAAATTGGATGTTCCCATGACCACCTCCTTGGGTTCGATTAATTTGTTAGAGTGGGTCACAGAACTCAGAGAAATGTTTACTTACATTACCAGTTTATTATAAAGGTTATTATAAAGAATACAAAAGAACAGCCAAACAGGTACATAGGGTAAGGCCAGAAGGGCTTCCATCCCCAGGGAACTGGGGTGTATTCACCAACCCTGAAGCTTATTAAATCTCATTGTTCAAGAGTTTTTATAAAACTTAATCTGCAGCTCCTCCCAACCCTTTCCAAGAGGCCAGCAGGTGGGGGTTAAAGTTCCATCCCTCTATTCACTTGGTCTTTCCGGTGACCAGCCCTACCCGAACGCACCTAGGGACCCTATCCTAAGTCGCCCTATATCACCTCATTAGCGTAAATCCAAAGGGGGCTTCTTGGGAAGGATAAGACACTCCTATCACTCAGGAAATTTCCAGAGTTTCAGGAGCCCTGTGTGAGGAACCAGGGACAAAAACCAAATATATTTCATATTCTACCACAGAGGTAAATCCCTATTTCACTCCTATAGCAAATAAATTCTAGATGAATCAAGGATTTTAGAATAATGAGAAAACAAACTAAAAATATGGAGAGAGGAAGAAAGCACGGGAGAATTAAAAAGAGTAAGCTTTTCTAAGTGTGACATAAAATTCAAGACATGAGTAGATCGATAAATTTGACTACATAAAAATTAGAGATTTCTGCACAACACACACAAGAACACATAGCTAAAGTCAGAATGCAAATGATACACTGGGGGAAAATATGTGCAACACTTCTGACAGAAAAAGAGCTAATTTCCTTAGTAGTGTTAATACAATTCAAGAAAAAGCCTAATCCCACAGAAAAAAGAGCAAATGGCATGAATAGATATATCCCAGAAAAGGAATTACAGTGGGATGTAAACATATGAATAGATGATGACCTTACCCATAGTGAGAGAAATGCAAAATAAAAGTACCTCGAGATATAATTGTTCATCCCTCTTACTGGCAAAGATTAAATGTTTGCTAACACATGGTGCTGGGCAGAGTGAGGGGCAACAGGCAATCCTATTCACTGTGGTGGGAATGTAAATAGGTGCAGATTTTTGTTTTGTTTGCGTGTGTGTGTGTGTGTGTGTGTGTGTGTGTGTGTGTGTGTGTGTTTTAAAGTTTGCTTATCTTTGATCTTAGTTTCCCGACCAGGGATTGAACCCAGGCCATGGCAATGAGAGCGCTGAGTCCTAACCACTGGACCACCGGGGAACTCCCCAGTAGGGACAGTTTTACGGAGGGCAATGCCTATCAAAATTGTAACCGGCCATACTCTTTGACCCAGCAATCCCACATCTAGCATTTACCCTCCAGATTTCCTCCCACATGTGCCTCAAGGAGTATGCACAAAGTTATTCATTGCAGCATTATTCGTAATCACAAAAAATATTCAAAAAACCTTAAATAACCATCATGGGGCACCAGGTTAAATACACTATGGCATTTTCACACAACGCAATGTCACGCAGACTTTACAAAGAAATGATATTAAGGGTTTCAAAAAATTTTGAAAAGCCAGAGGCAGGACTTCTTCAATCACTGTAAAAGCCAAGGTAGTCTTAAGTGGAAGTCCTCACTGAGCACACATACCCCTCCCAAAGCCTTCCAAGACAAATATAGGCTTGGATGGCCTCAAGGGAATCAGTGTTGTCCCTCTTCACGTTATCTTCTGGAGAAAGCACAGTAGGTGAGGCACGGTCAGCTCCTCACTCTTCTCCCATGTTACAAAAAAAAGGCAAACTCACCCTTCTTTGAAGTCTATAGTGCAAAGACCTCTGGGGCATCATACAGAGGGACAATAAATACTGGTGTCCTCAAAGCTTCTTTTAATCGTGGCATTATAAACCCAAGGGAGGGCTTCTGATAGATAAATTTGGAAGAATTTAAAGAATGGAATGACATTGTGACAAAACTCCTTCCATTCCCAGGGTTTCTAATTATTGCATCTAATCAGTCTTGCAATAAGAAGTATTCATTCATTAACTGATTTTTTTTTTCTTTTTGGCCGCACCACGCGACTTGCGGGATCTTATCCCCAACGGGGGATTGAACCCATGCCCTCAGCAGTGAAAGCGCAGAGTCCTAACCACTGAACCGCCAGGGAATTCCCAACTTGTTAACTGATTTTTAAAAAATAGTCCCATCCTATCTCATCAATAGATGAATTTCCAAAAATATTTGAGTGTTTAATAATTTCTAAAAATAGGTAGTATATTTTATTGTATTGGTTAAGCGTGTAATAATAATAACTCAACCCAAAAGAAAACTTTTCAACACTTGGAGACCTATGGTCAAAGACAGCATTGTTTAGTTATATAATTTCAACTAATGGACATATTTGGTTGCAAATAAGTATGAAAGGGTAATCAATTCATTTCATATATATATATTTTTTGAACGTCTGTGATATGTATACAGTTATACACATATATACATACACACACACACACACACACACACACACACACACACACAAAACATTAGGATAAAAATCTGTGGGGGAAGTCAACTGGAAATACAAGTTTATGAAGTAAAGGAAGAATGTAAAATTCCAGACTCTTTTTTTTTTTAATTGAAGTATACTTGATGTACAATATTAATCTGTTACAGGTGTACAATATGGTGGTTCACAATATTTTTTTTCTTTTTTCTTTTTTTTTTTTTGCGGTACGCGGGCCTCTCACTGTTGTGGCCTCTCCCGTTGCGGAGCACAGGCTCCGGACGCGCAGACTCAGCGGCCATGGCTCACGGGCCCAGCCGCTCCGCGGCACGTGGGATCTTCCCAGGCTGGGGCACGAACCCGTGTCCCCTGCATTGGCAGGCAGACTCCCAACCACTGCGCCACCAGGGAAGCCCGCGGTTCACAATTTTTAAAGGTTATATTCCATTTATAGTTATTATAAAATATTGGCTATATTCCCTGTGTTGTACAATATATCCTATAGCTTATTTTTTACATAGTAGTTTGTACCTCTTAATTCCCTACCTTTATATCGCCTCTCCCCACTTCCCTCTTCCTACTGGTAACCACTATATCTCCAGCTTGTTCTTCATATCTGTGAGTCTGCTTCTTTTTTTTATCACATTCACTAGTTTGTTGTTTTTTTTAGATTCCACATTTAAGTGACATCATACAATATTTCCCTTTCTCTGACTGATTTCACTTAGCATAATACTGTCCAAGTCCATCTATGTTGCTGCACATGGCAAAATTTCTTCATTTTATGGCTGAGTAATATTCCCTTGTATATACATACCACATCTCCTTTATCCATTCATCTGTCGACAGACACTTCAGTTGCTTCAATACCTTGGCAACTGTAAATAATGATGCTATGAACATTGGGGTGCATGTATGTTTTCGAATTACT